AACGAAAGTGTTATTAAGATTCTAGCATATTTCAAAGAAGAAGCAGAAAGTCAAGACTTTTACTCGAAGCAAACTAATAGAATAACTATATGAACTTTGTTGTAATTGAAATAGTTTTACATAAATTTTTATAAAAATTGTTGTTGTTCTAATTTGTAAATTTTTTGCTACAATTAATTATTTACTTTAGCTAAAAACAGTACTACGATTAGCAGATGGAGACGTTGACAGTGTAGCTGTACATGGCAATAGCTTCGTCTTTCGTAGCAATCAAGCAAATATATCAAAATCGTGTGGAAAATATACATTTGATCAAATCTTTGCTTCTGATGCTACTACAGTTCGTTGTTTACTTTAAGCTAAGCAATTATCTATTTGTTTATAAACAAAGAATAATATTAAATTGTTTATTAATATTAAAAATTATTAAATTTTTCATACAATAATTAGTGCATTTTAATAATTATGATTTATATTTGCATAAATTTTTTTTTATTTATGCAGATTTTGAAGCAATTTTAAAATAATGATATGTGTAAACGAATTTCGCTATTGTAAAAAATAAATGAATATTTTTTTGTTCATTATTTTATTTTGTCATGTACTATAATAATAATTTTTAGCAACAAATATGCTCAGTTTGTTTGCCGGATTTGTTACAAACTTGTTTTAGTGGTTCTGATGCCTGCTTTATCTATTTTGGTGCTGTATCAAAAGGTCAATATTTTTTACGCAATTTATCATATTACTTAACATTGACCTTTGTTGTTTATTTTATTTTTGTAATATACAATAATAGCATTTGAAAAACAAATTTCGCTATTGTAGAAGACAAATAAATATTATTTAAGTTTATTATTTATTCTGTAAAAAAATTATTCCATTGCATGGAATGAATGAATGACTCATATGCTCATAACTTTTCAGATTATTTTTTTATAAATTATACTATGCCATTATTAGAGTAATTAATGGATACTTTTTGTGTCCACTTTATGAGGGATTAAACTAGAATTGTCGTAATAATGACTTCGTTTTCAAATGAACAAAATGAGTACTAAATTTAAGTACTAAATTTTAAAATTGTAGTTTGATTAGATACTGAGTTTGCATTACATTACAAATTGTCAAATAAATTTGCAGAAATATTGCCAAAATTCTTACAATTATAATATTCAAATTTGCTTTACTAAAAATTTGCAATTGTAATTACATGTAAAATACTATTGGGAATTGCTAATTTATATTGAAAATTCTGTGCATATTTTAAAAGTAAAATATGCATATTTGTTTTGTATATAATTTGTAATTAAAATCAAACATCACAAAAATTGTAAACTTGCGAAAAATGTTAATAATTTGTAAATTATTACATTTTTAGATGAAAATAATTCAACAAATATTTTTGTTATTTCTAATTTTAGAGGAATTTTTTAATGACTGCTAATTTTTTTAAGTTATTGAAGTTTGAAAAAATTTATAGTTTTAATTTTTTAGCAAAAAATGAACTTCTGTATTCACGTTTTGGACACAAAGATTCAGAAATTTCATTATCTGCTAAAACAACAACAACATCACAATTATCTTTGGGAGCACCATATCCAGGAATTTTTCCATCTGCGTTATTACTTACTTTTCGTTTAATATCTGAATTACGTCAACGTCGACCTGATTTCCGTCATTCTGTTCGTATTTCCGCTCTTTACTATTCACAGCGACGTAATATGCTCACTGATCTCCTTGCACCATTAATACGACCTTCATCAGGTCAGTGTATTGCTGATATTGAAAGCTAAACGTGTTTTTTCAAATAGATCTCAAAAATCTGATGTATACTTTGAAATCAATCTTCAAGTATTACTTGCATTTTTTGTAAATTATCTTAGAAGCCTAACTTATATTTTGAAATGATTCTCGATAACGTAACATTTAATTTTGATCAAACGTGTTTTTCCAAATAAGTCTGATGAATCAAGATTGAAAGTACGCAGCAGATTCATATCAGACCTATAAATTGACTATTTGACTGCTATTTCTTATAAAGTTTGAAAACTTAACGTATAGTTGGAAGCAAATTTAGAGAATCAAGCTTGTAATCACGATACCAAGTCAAATTCAGTCAAATCAAAACTAATAATATTTAGGAATCTCAATAACTTAACTCATAACCATTATAATATGTATAGCTTAAGCGATTCTGCGTATACCGTAAATCTCAAAAACTTACTGTATATTTTTTTCCATTAAAATTTTTTATAAAATTGCATATTTTTAACACCTTATTTTATTACTTACAAACATAAAATGCCTATTTTATATTTCTTAAATTGAATACTTTTCAATAAAAGTGATTTTTATTCTAAAAGTAATTCAGTTCTGAGATTTATTTAAAAAGCAAAAAAATGTATGCATAAATCAAATTGGGTGTGTAACCGTTTTAATTAAATTAAATTAAATTAAATTAAATTAACTGATTTGTACGAAAAATGCATAATTTCTTTGTTTTGGAAAGAATTTTTCATCGATAGATAGCTTGCGTTGATAATCTTATCGATAGCAAAGTATACGAATGATAAAAAAATATGAGCTTATGCAAATGAATGAGACATAATTTTATTTTTTAATTATTATTAATTAAAACAATTAATAATTTGTGTATAATTGTTTATATTTGTGAAAACAAAATTGCTAAATATGCTCAGTGCTAATTAGATTATTCATTTTTGCACTATAAATTAATTAATAGCATTTTTTTGAGAAAAAATTTTAATTATTTGTATATGATATTGTATAAAGAAGTAAAAAATGCTCGTATTTACAGGCTCTCGACAAGATGTTATCATTCGAGAGGATTCTGTTTTAGGCATCAAAATTGAGAATCACAGTGAGTTAAGAGTGGATTCAATAGGACAAGCATTTATACTAATTAATGAAATTGTTCGAATTAGATTAAATGGTAAGTTACAAATTTTTCGACTTGTTTCTAAGAAAATTATTTAAAAAATCGTTATAAAATGCAGTCAGTAACTTTCTCACTGCTTTTTTTTACGTAAATGTTACGTTTAGAATGAAAAAGTTTTTTGTTATTGAATATAAATATTATAATTTTTTATCCACAAAATAATATAATATTTTGCTGAATAAATTTATTATGCAAATATTTGCATAAATTTGAATTTTTTACATTTAACGCATTTTGTGATACAAAATTGTTAAAAAAAAATAATGCGAAAAAAAGATCAAAACTTAATATTCGAATATTAGCATTATCAATCTGTAAATTGTGATCATAAAGTTTATTATATATATAATTTCTATCGTATTCAGAATTTTTTATGATTGCCTTCTGCTTGATTTGAAGAACTTTATGTCTCAACTCGATCATAAACTTTCCTATACAAATAGCAATTTAAAAGTTGTAAAATTTTTGGTATTTCACTTATAAAAGTTTAAAAGTAATCATAGAAATTAAGTTTGAAGCTAAATTTTGCATATTTGATTCGATCTAAAATGCAAAATAATCTTCTCTTATTTTATTACAAAAACTTTTTTTTAAAATAATATTAAGTAAAAATATACTTTAACTAAAAAAATAATTTTAAGTAAAAATATACTTTAACTGTTATGTAAAAAATGTACTAATATTTGTTTCTTAAATTGCAAAACATAAATAAAAAAGAAATTGATGGAATTTTGTAAATAAAAAAGAATGAAAAACTAGAATATTTTGGTGAAAATTTATTAAAAAAGCAATAATTGAAATAAACTTGAAAATAAGAATTTACTGCTTTATTTATTTTCAATCGAATAAATTTGTTACTTATTTTTCACAAAGTTTTATGCTTTAAAAGTTTATTAAAAAACTACAAAAATAGTTTGCATATTTTGTATAAATTACGGAAGTAAAATTGTATTTAAAAAGTAAAACAAGATAAATTTGTATCAAAACTGTAAAAAAATGATGGAAGATTGAATTTGTTATCATTTTTGATTAAAAATTAATGCATTATTATGATGTTACAATGAAGAATTCATTTTTGTATTTACAGAAGATGAACATGAACAACGGTGTGGTCATTTGTTTTTTTATATCAATTTGTACAGGTCATTTTTTTTACTTAATATCTTAGATCATATTCATTTCAAAATATACAACGAAATAGATTTTTAGTGCTTAAAAATGTCAAAATTAACTTCACATTTTTTTATTTTTATAATATTTTTCAATCTTAAAAGTTAAATTCAAAAAATTATTGAATACGAAATTTTAGATCCTTACTGTTAAAAAATAGATCGGATTATAGTTTAAATTTAATCGAGCAAATTAGTGATAATCAGTACTAAATATAAATATAATAATTGATAACTTAAATAACATTATACTAATAATAGGTATAAAAAAGATACATCACAGTTAATCGGCGGTCGATCTCGTCTATGTTTAGTAGATTTGGGACTTGGTGAGCGTACATCAAAAGGTGATACACAAATGATAACAATGCCTGTGATTACAAATTTGCTTGTAGCTTTATTCCAGGGTCAACGATATCTTCCAAGCAGGCAAGAGCTTATTTCATTTTTAATGCTTAAAAATTTAATTAAAATTAATAAGACTTTTTTTTTCTCAAAAAAGAATATTAAAAAAAGTGAAAAAAATTGATCATTTTATACACAAATAAGTGAAAAGCAGTTTTTCTTTTCTAAATTTACTCATTTTTATTATTTTGATTAATTTAAATTTCAGACAAAGTCCATTATGTATGCTATTGAAAGAATCTTTGGGTAGTGTACAAGTGAAAACATCACTTCTGTTTGCTTCACTCTCAGATCGAATGTCTGAATCTGATAATATCTTACAAATGATGTCAAAAATACAACGAGCTGCTAAGCCACGTAAAGCACATCGAGTACGTGAATTAATTTCTTGCTATAAAATGGAAAATCTGTGCGCTTATTTTGCTTAATTTATGGAAAAAATATATTTTTACATATGAATTACGGAATTCACGCATTGCTGAATTTTAAATGATCTTTTGCGTAAAAAACTGTATTTAAAAAAAAAAACTGAGCTCATTTGCATATTTTTTTTCGTACTATTAACTGTTTTTTTACGCAAATCTATCAAATATTCCAATACTCCTAAGCATTTCCTTATTTCAATGATTAATTTTCATAAAGTAATGAAAAAATTATAAAATTTTGCAACCAAAAAATTATATATTAAATCAATGTAGTAAATAATCTTAAAAAAACTTTTATCTTTTAATTTATAAATTTAACAAATCTCGAATATTAGCTCAAAAATGCAAGGCATTCTTATATCCATTGTGACTATCACTGATATCCATTATGACTATCATTGATATCCATTGTGACTATCACTGATATCCGTGAGGACTATCACTTTTATTGTAATTGCATATTAGACTGATATTTAAAATCTGCAATATTTTGAATAATATTGAATAAGATTAACTTCGGTTCATTAAAAAAATGAATAAGTTTTAACAATAGCAATGACATATTTTTCCAAGGTTATCTCATATAATTTAATACTAATTATACGTATATATGAGTGCTATAAAAAATTTGAGTTAATTTTCAGTATAAATCTAAAAATTTTTCTGATTTTAGATTGGAAGTGATTCTTCATCGTCCGATTGTACACGTAGAAGGCTAGCAGCAAGTAGTGAAGGCAATTCAAGCTCAGAGCAGTCTTGCGCAGAAACTGTTATTTTCCTTGGGCCTTCCGTCAGGTTGTTTTTATTTTATTACTTGATTTTAGCGGTATTTCGTCTTTACTATTTAATTTTCGATCATTTTATTGCTATTTAAGATACTATAATGATTTTATAGCTATTTCGGATACTACAGTTATTCTTAAATCTTAAACTTTATGGCGTCTTTTATTTTATAGCTATTTTAAACTTTATAGCTGTCTTAAATTTTATAGCTATCTTGCATTTTATAGCTATCTTTAATTTCATAAAATTTTGGGAAACTCTAAATATTTCGGGTAAAGTATCTTTTTAAATACTTTTAAATATAAAAAGCATTGTAATAATTCTTATATATTCTTTTTTATTGTTCGATTACAACTTTTTGCACACATTTTGTAATAATTAAAAATAAAATGTAAATAAATGATTTTCAGATATTTTACACTTATTAATTTTTAAAATTAAAAGTTAATCACAACAGAAGAATTCGAATTAAAAAACTGAAAGTGCTTAATAATTTGTAATTATGGAATGCATAAAATTCTTTTTTTGTATTATTTAAAAAATTATATATTCATTTTCAGTTTGGATTTTTATTCATAACCATTGTTAATAATGTAAATATAAGATTTTATGCATATAAGAGTAATATTTAGAACAGTTTAATATTTTTGAAGGGTTGAATCTCCTGAACAAGAAGTAGCTGTTACAAAGCCATTAGGAAGTACAGAGATTGACTCTGCTAAACGGAAAATGATTCTAAATTGGATCAAAGATTCTAAGGAAAATATCAGTCTACAACCTAACAAGGCTAGTTTATTGCTTCATGATTTTATTTTATTTGTTTTATCATTAATTTTTGCGATTATAGTCATAAAAGTGATGAATTAATTTTTATACATACAAGTAAAATGTATTGGGATTTATTGTGAATCCAAAAATTTCACTTGGATGAATATTCTGAATTGATATATGCATTCAGTTATTCAGTAATACACTTGATGCTCAGTTAATGAATAATAAAATTTAAAATCTAATAAAACTGACCAGTTGTTCAAGTTTTTATTTAATGAACAAAGAATTAGCAAAATAAATGGTAGATAGATAAATAACTATTTATATTTTATAAAATATTTTTGGTAACTTTTCAAGTTAGCATTTGATTTAGGTTAATGTTAGTATACAATGCAACGAAAATGATATCGATATTGAGAATATTCAACTTTACGGTTATCGACGACAATTAGATGATATTCTGGAAGACGATGAAGAAACTAGCATATGTCATTCACCAAGGAGTTTAGCTACCGCGGAACAATTATTAGATCCTTTCCAAAATAATGCCACCTTAAAGCAACCTCTTAGTATCCTTAGTCTTGACAAGATTTCTGCTTCAACATCAGGCAAAAGTGCTTCCGAAAATGTTAGTGCTCTAATTTTTAGAGCTTATTTATTAGTAAGCCTTACTAGAAGTTTTAATCAAAACATAGTTACTTATGGGTTTTTATACTCATATTAAAATTAAGTCTAATTTATCCGTAAAAAATATAATAACGTGTTTCAAAAGAGATATCGGTATTTGTAATAATTTTTGGTATTTAAATCATTGACGTTTTGACGTAAAAGCTTTAATTAAAATTTGTCACAAGATGAGAAGATTAATATTACTGTTGAATATTTTTGTTATTCAGATTTTTTTACTCTTTTTTGGTCTAGGAAGTGGAAGACGATGACTTAGAACGAGCAATGGCTGCTAGCATTAGCTCAATTCGTTCACATGAAATACTTTCACGTTTGAATG